GCCATTTTGTTACTAACTTCTGAATGTTGTGCAGTCCACTCCCTCACTTGTGCCGAGTTTTCTGGACGTAGGCGCACCGATGTCTCATCAAACGTAGGGGGAACTACATGCTGAAAGTGCAAAAATAAAAAGGCACAACATTTAACAACAAACCTTCAACGCCTAATTTTGTTAAGAATTTTGTTGTCTCCATAAATGCACCAATGTACCTCGTGCTGACCAACCGTCTTTTTCATCGCAATATCTCAAAACTGATGAGACTCTTTCCGCGGTTGCATCGCATTTTAAGTTACATTTGCAAATTCGGCCCCCGAGCCAATTGCGTGATCTGGTGTCTTGTCGAAGACAATAGGAGGTAAATGCTGACAGTGCAAAAAGGCAAAAGCACGTAACGTGACATGCAAACCATACATAACTTTAGGAATTCTACTTGAATCTATAGCATAAAACTACTCTACCATGGCATCAGGAAGTTTTTTCGACGACTCCCACAAATCTGTCAAGCTTGTAGTTCCACCAGCAGATGTGGCCAATGTCCCATGCTGTTGTTTGGGTGTCTCATCATAAAAAGGAGCTTGAAGTCCACTTGACTGTAGATCATGCACATGATCCATACCAACATTTGTATGACCACTCTTGGTTGAAATGACTTCGTTACTGGGCTCAGTTTCCTCCTCGTCGATATCTACCCATGGAGTTTGAGGTACCATTGTGTGGAGTCCATTTTTTTTATGTAAACAGAGTGTGGCAATGTCAAAAAATTGCTTGTACCTGATGTAAGGTGCACAAGATCACCTTCGTCAGCACTAGTGGAAGAATCCATAGGCTCTTCAGTGGCGACCCCTTCGTCATCTAAGTTGCCCATGTCACCTATAAGGAAGACAAAGTGGTTAAAACTGCATGAAACATACAAACAGACGCCTTATGAAGAAGAACATATACCATTATCATAGCAAGTTTTGCACACGCCATTTGTTAGAACTTCGTGATCGGGATCATTGTAGATACACTGTGAATTCCACTGACTGCCAAATACTCCATCCAAAATTGCACCTGTGTGAGGCCACCCGTTTAAAAAACATAGAAAAAGGATAGATAAATATGTTGACAATGGCCACAATACCATAGTTTGTGGCACCTTGTTGAGATTTTGGAACCCCAGCAGCCATAAGAATCTGAGTGTAACTAAGGTCGCTTGTATCAAAAACATTGTCGCGACCCTCATTAAGCACCACATTTACAGAGTTATCAAAACCAGTTGTGGGACATGGTTGCTGCCTCTTATCATGCAAGTTTGAGTATTCTCCCGCACCTGACAGGGGAAATTGAGCAGCAGTCGAAGCAGCCTTGGGGCTTGGTGGTGGTGGTGGTGGGTTCGATCGAGAATCCCTCACAATGCACTTGATTTCCTCAACTGTCGTCATCAGTCGATCACATATGTTGAGCACCAGCCTTTGGATGTCGTCATCGCACCTTCGCAATGCTGACATGGCTGCAACCTGTTGTGGCTCACAAAAATCATCAAAGCAACCTGCGAGGTGACGATGCATGCTAACAATACATGCAGGAGGAGAAGAATGTGACCGATACGGGATATCTGAAGCACTTGGAGGAGTGCCACCAGTTGTAGGCGCCGCACCCTCCATGTAGCAAGTGCCCACCTGACTCCTCAACTAGTAGAACACCATAAAATAGAAAAACACATGTGTGAAGATGTGATCAAAGAAATGCATTGCAGAATGAAATAGTTGAGCAACTTACCGGCAAAGCACCAAATGTTCCAACCCCGTCAAGCACTATCTTATCTTGGTCGATGAGCCTCAACATTTCCTCCCTCGTAATATTATTTATCCGAGGTGTGACGATGGGATTGGTAGAAGGCTTTCCCAACAAATTATCCAAATAATATACCTATAAAATCACATACATTAACATAGTCACAACTTCACTACCAAGAGGGTATGCATTCACAACATTGGTTTTTGATGGTTGAGTGTGAAGAAAGGATGTGATACTCACAACTAGGAACAACACACAACCATGAATAGAGGGGTTGGTGGTTCCGGTCTTCTTTGAGTGCCATGATTTAGAGGCATTCACAATGTCATCAAAGATTAATTTAGCCCAATTTACCGAGCACAGCTTAGTGATGTCCTCCGTCAATGCAGCCTCCTTTCCTGTGATGTAATCACAAGTCCCTGGCAAGAGTAACTTGTTCAGGAGGATCATCACGAAGCACCTGATCGTGAATTCATCACCCTCTTCATCTTTCGCAATCTGTGCAATCAAATCTTGCACCTTGACATCTTCACTTTGATCGACACCAAGCTTCATCTTCAGTTCACATAAGGCTTTCTTTTGGATGTCTTTACCGGGTACAACTATGTTTGTACCCCTATCTGGCAACCCAAGAACACATTCGATGGAGTGCCTAGTAATTTTCAAGTGCTTATTATCTGTAATGCACAAGGTAAGCGTATTGGGATCCAGCCTATCCATGAGGAACATCAACAACTTGGTGTTCTCAATACTTCTCAATTTCAAGTCCAAGAATATTCCAAAGTCATATTCTCTGAGTTTAGCTTTCACAGCTTCAGACAAACTTTTCTTGGCCACTAAAACTTGGTTGGGAGCACACTTATAGTTCGGGCATATCTTTTTAGAACTATTAATATTACCCTGATCATGACAGAAGAAAATAACAACAAAATAAGGTTCTACAACCAGCGGCACGTGACAACATCATTCAAAGATTACAGGAACATAAGACAAATGTTAACATAGCACAAACAACAACACCTCACAACATTTTACCTTTTTGGACTTCCTATTGTCAGGTTTAGAGGCCTTGCTCACACGGGCTGGCGGGTCAACAAAATCATCATCGCTCGGTGTGGCTGCCCTATCCTTTCTCTTTCCTGGAATATTCTTTTTTGGAACAGCGTGAGCTTTTGACGGCCTCCGAAGGTTTTCACGACGAGGGGGAGAGGAAGAAACGACAGGCGGATTAGCAGCAGAGGTAGCTGCGCCAGCAACAGCATTAGTAGGTTGTTGCTCATCTGCAGCCCTAACATTGTTTGTAGGGACATCTAACTTACTGGTATTGTCCTTAAACTTCATCGCTCTGTGCATATAAAAATAAATATAAATTAGATGCTCCGAAGACATGTTTGTTGTTATTACTGTTACCACGAATTAGGGATGTTGGTTCAAGATTTTTGAAACAGGACAAATCATATCTATGCTATTTAGATAATACATACTGTAAGTCCATAACTACAGGATATATTAGAGTTATATACCAATTGTGGATTTATACACCAGTATGCGCTGCAGATTTAGCACTGCATTTTTTTGAATATGAATGTTCTAAAACAAACATAGGGAAACATAATAGATTTAACTAAATGGTTGAAGTGAGTTGATTCATTTTGTATGATGACATTCAGCATTGCACATCAACTGGTCCATGCACAGGCTTGCTCTCGTTACCTTCTGTATGATGAAATTCAGGTAACTAAAATTCCTCACTCCATCTACCCATATTTCAAGAATAATCGGACACCTACTCTTGCAAATTTACGGAGAGGGGCCGATACTGAAGAGCCCCAGCGGGGAAGGCCTGGTTGCGGTCCGTCCTGCTGGGAGGAGATGCAGACCACATCAACAAGCAATCAACGTCTCCTCAGTCTGCTAAAAATCGACGGAAGGAGGTTACAGTGCATTAATTGGAGAATGTTTAGAAGGAAAACCAAATTATATATAGAGCGTTACATGCAAGAATCTACAAACACCGAGCATACCAAAAAGACAAACATAAGCAGTACCATTGAGGTTGCCCGTCTCCTCCAATGCACTCACGTACCCATGAAAAATTAACCCTGATGCAGTTAATGTCCGCGTAGTGCAACCCGACCGCGATCACCCACTGCAGCACCGCAGCGATCACCGCAACTGCTCTGCCGCGACCACCATCCACAGCGCTCGCCAATACCCAGGGCAGCCGCCGGGCCTGCCCCGTGACCACCAGTAAAGCCTGATGCAAAAAACAGGGAGATAAACACTCACAACGAGCACCGGAGGTGATCTACCGGCGCGCAAAGCCCCCCTGTCACCATGCCGCCTTTCACTTCATGTTGTTCGCCGTGGAGACTGCGAGCAGTTTGTAGACTTTTTTCCACAGTTGAAACCGCTCGGATCAGATCAGAAAATCACGGCAACATGAGCTTACCTAGCTCTTGAACGGTTAGCAAAAAAAAATTACCTCGATGCCAAGGCAAGTTTACAACGTGCCGTGCCGGCTTCTAAACGTACATCGCGTTCAGAGAACTATTTATTCCTTTTTTACGAGATAGAGCAAATTTATTTATTTACATATTCTTTCAAAAAAGATATAGCTACTTTGGAAATAAGAAGCGATTTAATATCCTCGGCCTACTGATTATGATGGTCAAAATTTACCTGCACTTTTTTTTGCAGGTCAGACTTTTTTATATACAGCCAAAACTCATCCATACTTACTACTCTGGTAGAATTAAATTCCAGCTCCATTCACTTCTAGAGATAGGGCATCGAGTCATCTTTGAATTGATCTGTATTTTATTCAGAAATTTATTCAAATGTCTTGCATTGCTTTTAAACATGGGGAATAAAACCAGTCCGACTCTATTATTCAATTTTACATATCTTTGTCAATTGTAATACTACATTATTTTGCCATGGTTGTAAACCTATTTTATTATACTTTTGTGGTGCGGCCGATTACTCTGAAGTCGCGTAATAATACTCTCTAATCATATATGTCTCACCTTTGAACCAGTCAGACATTTTTTTTCACGAGCCTTGGTTCCATTAAAAAATAACAAACTCCCTAATTCAACTGCTAACAACTCTTTTTTTATTACAAACTAGCCCCATGTTCAGGTACACCCTAAACCATACTCGATAATTAACTAACATCCACGAGGGGGCATCGATTTTGATGTGTAGATAACTCCATCCTACACAATTCGTTGTTCCGCCTCGTACTCATCTGCATAACAGAATATAAAATGTGTCAAATATATTTCATCATACGATGGATACCTACAATAATAGAACTGACCTATTGTACATCTTGGCACTGCGATATCGCCTGACAGTCGACGTAAATGGCCAAAAACCAGGTGTTCGTGCACAAGTGAACAACCGTTCAAATGCAGCGTGTCGCCCTTGTTGATTTTGTATATACTAGCAAACATCTCCCATTCTCCGGTGAGGATGTATTTCGATCCACGCTGTAGAACATCAAACTCGTACCATTCATATGTTGGCTCTATCTGCAATTTCAACTCACTTCTCCAAAATCGAGTCAACCTTTCTCCTAGAGTGCAAGGTATCACCTATCCATTTGTACAAAACATTACAAAAAATCACAGTCGGTGTAAAATCAGAGTCGGTGTAAAACTTACCATCGTGCATCTGAATTGTCTCGGTACTCTGATCGAAAATTTGGAGAACGGAAGACCACGAGCACATATTTGTATCGGGTATTTACATAGTCTGCACACTCTCTCCTGCCGAGGAACAGCCATTATGAATGAATCATATATGCTATGATTGCAATATTATATATATGCAGATCGCTCTGAGACAAAGTAAACAAATCACGAGATTTCGGACATGCAAAACAAACCAAAATGAAGGAGGCCTTCCATTCTTGCAACAAATCCGGTGTACTCAGTCTCATATGATTATTAATAGATCTATTAATAATACCAACAATTTTGGAACAAAGCTTTTATCCTACTACAAAGTCAGGAATGCCTCCTGATCCCGATTTTTGCTCCCTTTTACCTCGTCTAACCACGCAACCTTACTAACAAAAAAAACACACAGTAATTTTACGGGGCTACTTCTCTCTTTTGGTGTAGGCCGTAATATTACTTCACTTATAATCAAATCTTACCACAAACAGCCGCCGGATATAAAGCACTAGACCAATTCTAAGGGAAGGTAAAATTACCTCACAAGTATTTTATTCTGACGCCGCGTGGAGGCTGGTTCGACCCAATGCGTGAGTTGGCTGGGGTGAAGAATAAGAATTCTTCACCCTGGGTGACGAATATATATAGTGTTACTATTCATCACCCAGGGTGCAGAATAAGTTATTCTTCACCCGAGGTAATCTTACGATCATTTCATAATTAAATTACGTTTGGAATTCAAATAGTTACCTTTCTATTGATTCATTACGTAAAATTTGACATACGAAAATTAAAATATAGGTCATAAGACAAGAAAATTTGTAGTTTATGTGTATTTTAGACTATGTTTTTACGTTTGTAATTTTACATAACATAAAATATTTTTTACGGCGATTATATATTTTCTTACGGTCTCTTTTTGCATCGGAAATAAGACAAAATTTACGGAACGTAAAATTACGGTGCATTGATGGTAAAATAGAGGGGGGGGGGGTGAAGAATAGCGCGACCCTATATATATAGTCATATTATTTCTTATGCTAAAGTAACAATTCATTCACAATTTCAAGTATGAATCAGAAACTTCATTGAAAACTAACAAACTATAATCTCACTCATTCGAGCAATTGCAATTTATCATAACATCAGAAAGAGTCAACATAAGAGCTTTTCAGCAAGTCCACATACTCAACTATCATTTAGTCTTTCACAATTGCTAACACTCACACAATACTTATGAGTATGGAGTTTTAATCGGACACAGAGAAAGATAGGGGCTTATAGTTTTGCCTCCCAACCTTTTACCTCAAGGATAATGTCAACAATAATAGTTCATGAAAACTCACATCCAATTAGCTATATATATCAGGATCTTTCCAACACACAGTGATTGCCAAAGGATAAAATGTAAAAAGGAAAGGTGAAGATCACCATGACTCTTGTATAAAGTATAAGACAAGAATAAAAGATAGGCCCTTCGCAGAGGGAAGCAGAGGTTGTCATGTGTTTTTATAGTTGGATGCACGAAATCTTAATGCAAAAGAATGTCACTTTATATTGCCACTTGTGATATCTCTACTCCTATAAAAACCTGAGTTGGTGATGATGGTGTGTCTGCCATCTTCCACCAACAACCGTCGGATCTAGATCTGACGCATGCAAAGCAAACCGTTGCAGTTTTGTAAAAAGATGCCCGCACTTGTTTTCATATTTACAAACAACTCCTTGTCGCTTACAATCAGCCTTATCTCTTTCCCACCACATCTAGAAGGCCATGGAACAATCTGGTGTGATGGTCACTACCGGCGCCGTCCACCCCCAATCTTGGTGTTACGTGCAATGCACGGGCATCTTACTAGTCTATATACTTATACTTACTCCTATAAAAATGCGATTTGGGGATGATGGTGTGCCTGCCATCCATCGTTTTTGACCGTCCGATCTGCATCCGACGCATAGAAGACAACCCCACTTCATATTTGCAAAGAACCCCCCGTTCTCTTTGTTCATCTCCATCCAGTCTCACCTTATGCAATCGGCCAAGCAATAGATCCTTCTTGAAAAAACTGGAACCAAAGTGGCATTGTCCGATCCCAACTCCTATCTGCCGCAGCAGGCTCGCCGCCACACCCACCTCCACCTTCCCTCCTCCCTATCGTCTCCTCCTGCCCCTACCCCATCTCCTATGGCGCCGAAATCGACAAGTACGTCTGAGGGAGTCCTGGATTAGGGGGTCTCCGGACAGGCGGACTATATCCTTTGGCCGAACTGTTGGACTATGAAGATACAAGATTGAAGACTTCGTCCCGTATCCGGATGGGACTTTCCTTGGCGTAGAAGGCAAGCTTGGCAATACGGATATGTAGATCTCCTCCCTTGTAACCGACTCTGTGTAACCCTAGCTCCTCCGGTGTCTATATAAACCAGAGGGTTTAGTCCATAGGACAATAGACAATCATACCATAGGCTAGCCTCTAGGGTTTAGCCTCTATGATCTCGTGGTAGATCAACTCTTGTAATACTCATATCATCAAGAACAATCAAGCAGGACATAGGGTATTACCTCCATCAAGAGGGCCCGAACCTGGGTAAACATCGTGTCCCCTGCCTCCTGTTACCATCCGCCTTAGACGCACAGTTCGGGACCCCCTACTCGAGATCTGCCAGTTTTGACACTGACATTGGTGCTTTCATTGAGAGTTCCACTATGCCGTCACCATAAGGCTCGATGGCCCCTTTGATCATCGGTAACAATGCAGTCCAGGGTGAGGTTTTCCTCCCCGGATAGATCTTCGTATTCGGCGGCTTCGCACTGCAGGCCAATTCGCTTGGCCATCTGGAGCAGATCGAGAGCTACGCAAATGGCCATCAGGTCAGGTTCGGAAACTTAAACTACACTGCCGACATCCGCGGAGACTTGATCTTCGACGGATTCGAGCCCATGTTAGGTGCGCTGCATAATCACGACGAGCATGACGTGACTCTGCCGTCGGACAGTGTTCAGGAGATCGCATCTCCAACTACTCTAGCCTTCAATCCGGA